CGTCATTGTGGTTGTCTCTGAGGATGTCAGTTGATTATTTATTAACAGTGAAAAGGAGTCTGCAGTGAATGCTGAAGTAAGGCTTATTAGATGCTGTCCTGGGCGGGAGCAGAAACAGAACCCAGTTTTGACAGTCTGGCAGGCAGCCTGATCACACCGACTGAATTGTCCGCTGTCCCATTTACAAAACTGGCCTCAGTACATCTCAGGAGCATAAGAATGGAATAGTACAGGGAAAAGGAAAAAAATCTTTGAAAATCTTAAAGTTTGATAGAAATAAATCCACCCAATCTATCAGTGCTGTTGAAAATGCCAAGAATCTTAAATGTAATATTCCCTGCAGTCAAAAGCCATGCAAAATGATTCTGTACAACTGATCAGGGGTGGAAGAGAAAAGCAATACAGCAGTCTCAACATATTTAGTGTGGCGATATTGTACACTGACACCAAGTATGTTTTTTTTCTTAATCATATAGATTATTAATATTACAAATACAAATTAAACTTTTGGTAGCCTACTACAACATTTAAATCAATTGCTTTTCAGACAACTTGATACATTTTGGTGCAATACAAATAACTGAAGTGAGAAACTTTATCTTTAAAACTTTCTCTTATTAGATAAAACAGATGTTTACCTTTGATGACATAATTTACAGTTAAAAAGGTTAGGTTAATAATAAGGTTAATAAATCGCAAAATATCACAATATATATGTTACCCCTATACTTGGGATATTGCAAAACGTTAAACGGTTTGAACTCTGTCATAGAAACAGTCTGCATATGTTGGTATTTTTGCTACTTGTGATGTCATTTCTTGGGAGTATTTTCAAATGCTTCATACCCCTACAATGTGTACAACCCAAAAGCTAAGCTATTATGTAAGTCAATAAAACCATAATAATTTATAAACGTATTGAAATTATGTCATAAATTAAAAAAAAAATACAAAAATCAGACATGTTTTTTCATTGAATTTTAAAAAATAAACACACATTGATCCAAAAGATTTCTAAATACAGAAACATGGTACAAATATTTCGTATCACTACATAAGTTATATGAACTATGTAACTAACTATGTTTTTTAGTTTTTCAGATACCCTCATTTTTATGAGCAGAGTGCAGAACCCTTGTGATAGTTTCATCTGCAGTGCCTACATTGGTATTCTCAGTCATTTCTATCCCTAAAACCTGTACAACCTAAAAGCTTATGTAAGTCAATAAAACATAATAATTGATAACAGTACTGAAATTCATAAATTTAGAAAAATACAAGACATTCCTATCAATCTGCTTCTCTGCCTCTCTGGCACCACTGCACGTTTTCTCCGTCTTTTGGACCACTACCACAAGAAGTCTTAGCCTTCTGCTGCAAAAAAATGAAAATAAAAATAAAATAAATGCTCTAGCTATTACAGTTTTTATTTCAGATCAATTTTAAACAGAATCATGTAAACAACGATCTCCTGCAGCCATGAAGGGACAATTCTGTGGTGTGACCACAGGTCATCACTGCCTTTTAGACGGCTTGTAGCATAACAATAATGTCATCACACACGGACATCATGACGGAGCGAAAGACAGAAGTCTTAGCTGTCTGATGCAAAAAGAATAATGCTAGAACTCTTATATTTATTTTTTTTTAATTTTAGATTGATTTCTGACAGGATCAAGAAAACAACATCGGCAACTCGAGCAGTCACTTAATACAGCTGGACAGCATTACAAGTTAAGCATCAGGCCTCATAACAACATTCAGTCAAGATTCAAATGCCGTTTCAACCCATGTGACTGTATGAGTGGGCACTCACCAACAAGGAGAAATCGAAGTACGGCCACAGAATGTGTGAATCAATTCAGGATTGAAATGGCCTTTACGCTCAGTCTGGACGATTGATGCACATCATGGCAAGTTCAGACTTGCCATTGCCATTGACCTGTGCAGGGCTGAACAGTGGAGTAATGACACTGCATGCTAATTTCAAGAGGGATAGAAGAAAATTTGTGAAGTGTTTCCCACCTACAAAACAATATCTATTGCGCAGGCAGCTTTAGCTGTAATATACAGCAGAAACATCACATTGTTACTGATTCATTCTCTGACTGCTATCACTATAGCCTGCAATTACAGATGTAGCAGAATGCTGTCCATGGTCCTGAAGGAGGACAGCAATGAAGGCTAAAGTCAGGACAGTAAAGGTTTCGACTGGAACTGCCCAGTACATCAACAGGAGCCTGTTACTATGGTTCCTATTGTGCTTTGAATTAAAAGTGTGGTTATTTAACATTTCTGTTCATTATCAGTTAATAATAGATATAAAACAAGTCTTGTTTAAGAGAGGAGAGTATAAATTTCACAGATATTCAAAGAGGATGACCAGATTGCCTCTTCATTTATTTTTAACTCACCAGTGAGCGTGTCCTCATAGGCCCTTGAAAATGTTTAAACTGATAACCAGTGTAACACATTGCAATTGTCCCCTGTCAGCCTGACATAGCTAACTGTCACTGTTATCATGCTGTCAGGCAGGGATTTAACTTATTACACATAGAAGAACCCAGATCAGCACTGTACTGACCCCGTCAGATTTAGTTTGTCTTGTTATAATGTTGTAATCCTGAGCAGTCACCCTGTCTCATTCCCACACTGTATGAATCAGTTAATAACACAAACTCCAGGATGAGCTCCTCTTCACCTTACTGATGACCTGCTGGAACATAAAAGACCCCTGACGGTCCCTGGAAAATCATTTTATGAATCAGTAAGCCTGTTTAGACCTGTTATTAACATGTGTTTCGGTGATCCGAACACAAGTGGACAGCCGAGACACATCACTGTTCACATCTGTATCTATCATGCGTCTTAATGCCTTCGTCACTCATGCTAGAAGATCAAAGGGCCCCATGCACAGACAGTACGTCCACATTCTCTCCAACTGCTGGCTTGTCACATAAGCAGTTGTGTTAGTTCTGCCAGCAGAATTCAACAAATCTCCTTCCATAGGGCAGAACTATGGATGGTCACTTCATTCAACTCGTCATAAATAGGTAAAATAGAGAGCATAAGCATCAGGTTAGCAGGCTCTCTCTCTTTGAGGATACAAAAGCTGCTTAAATCAGATTGTATGTCATCAGTTTGGTTGACTTGCTACATCTGAAATCACCAGTGAATCACAACTAAATTACTTTTTAAATCATTGTAAGTATAGTTTTTTTTTTTTAATGTTGTTGCATCAGGGTCCTGCAGTGGGACACGTAACCCACAAAAAGCTTGGTGGTTGGTAAAAATATGTATACATATATATATATATATATTCACGGGTACGGGCACAGGTAAAAATTAACTACACGTGGGTGGGAAGCAGGTGAGAACAAAAATAGATTTTTTATTTTTCAGAATAAAACAAATGAAAAAGATGCGCAGAATATGCATAATATTGGGGCGCTGGTGGCTTAGTGGTAGAGCAGGCGCACCATGTACAAGGCTGTTGCTGCAGCGGCCCGGGTTCGACTCCAGCCTGTGGCCCTTTGCTGCATGTCTCTCTCTCTCTCTCTCTCTCCCCCCCTTCACACTTGTCTGTCCTATACATTAAGGGCTAATAAGCCACAAAAAAATATGTTTAAAAGAATATGCATAATATTTTGACGTCTAAATCACTATTGTCAAGCTCCAATTCCTTTTATTTTGTAAGCCAATGACAAAAGTTGAACCTTTGACCCTGTCATCACATTCGTCAACGACAGGGAGGACTCCTGCGATGAAACTTAGCAGCCTGAGGGTGAGGTGGCAGTTTACATCAAGTTCAAGACACCCAAGGAGGATCCTTTCAAGGTTTTATGGTGGAAGGAGCATGCTAAAATGTTTCCTAACTTGGCAGTGATTAAATGTTGTCGCCATCCCGGCCAGTGAACAAGACTTTCCTCCTCTGGATTTGTACTTCATGAGTGTGGGTTGGGATGCAGGACTGGTCTGGTACTGAGCTGAGTATGGGTTTTCAAAAACAGACCCATGTGGGCCTCTGTGTTGTGTTGTGATTGCAGGCCTGTGAGAGCTCTAGTTGCACACTGTAACCTCAGTCCACTTATCACTTAGGGTTTATTTGTAGTTTTTAGTCTGACCTCAAATCCATCAAGTGAAAATAGTAAAAACTACTATCAGCAAGAAAAGCCCAGAGAAAACGTCAATCATGACACCTAGACAGCCTCAAACAGACTTGTCACTTCCTTTAAAACTCATTCCTGCAGTTAGCACAATGTGAGAGCAGAACGGTAACACTTTACCCATCAACTGTTAATACTGCTCCCATGCCCTCCACCTCCCACACATCACATCTTGCCAAACTCTGGTATCAAAGAAAATCCCTTCCTTTGGCCATTGTGATTATTGCTCATGTTACATTGGACATTCCCGACAGCACTTGAAAGCAACATAAATCCTTCTATGTCCAGTAAGCCTCTGAGGGCGCAGAGGAGGGGAAAGGTCACCACAGACAATCTCCCATCTTGAGGAATTGCTAGTCAATCCTTTGCAACGCCCGCAGTATTTACTGTGTGTGTGTGTGTGTGTGTGTGTGTGTGTGTGTGTGTGTGTGTGTTTTCCACCTGCCACATCCTCCCCTGGTCTGTTTCTGCTCTTTCTCTCCTTCTAGAAACACACTTTTCCCCTCCACCTTTAGTTCTGCACCGTCACACAACAATTAAAACCGCTAAGTCTCTCGTTACCAGCTGCTAAAGATTAGCAGAGTATCGCTTCTGAATTGAGTGTTTTCCAGAGACTAATCCGCTGAAATCCCCCCCTCTGTTTTTTCAACGGCGGTAACGTGATAAAACAGACAACACTTCAGCCATGTCTCTGTCTCTCCCCTCACTAAATACTTCTATTACGAACGCCTACAGGCAGAGCTCAACTTTAGGGGATAGGATTCCGAAGCAGCAGCAGCAGCGGCGGCGGCGGGAGGAGGAAAATCATAATAATAATAATAAATATTGACTCACCTGAGAAAGACCGTCTCTCCTTGTCGGACGGTGATATTGTCCATCACTTTGTTGTCGGACTGAGAATCCCCTTGGCTGCGGACTGGCAACCCTGCAGGCACAAGAAGCAAAATCCTCAGAGAAAGAAGAACTGTGCATTTGGAAAAAGCGACAAAGTATCCCCGGACAGACATCGTCTTCAGCCAAGAGGTGTAGAAAAAAAAAAATCCCACAGCGAGACAATGAGTCAGTTTGCGCCCCGTGAAACAGTCCCGTGGAGATTATTTACCCCCCAGTTCATTAGTCTTAATCCAAATCTTCTCGCCAGGTAGCCGCGGTGTGCAGGGGAGGAGAGACACTCGACCCTATCTGACTGCACTGTAAAACATCCACTGTTTAGTCTTTAAAGAAGGCAAAGAAAAAAATAATCCCTTCTCACTGACGGGTCCGGCGGCTGCTGCTGTTCCTATTATTTCACCAAGTTTTTTATTCTAACATAAGAAGTCATAAAAAAAATGCTTCAGACGGGGATTCAAAGTGTTAATCTGCAGCCTCAATATGCCTAGAAACTAGGCGAACAACAAAAAGACACCAGAGTCATATTCAAAAGGAAAGACAGAGATGCCAAGTTTGCGATTTGCATCGGCTGTCATAGTTGTTTCTCTGCCGGCGCTCTGTCTTATTATGAGCACTTTCTGTCTGGCTACGTCACAGACGGACAGTTGGATAGTGGTGAAGGAAAATGGATTCACATTTGCATCAAATATCCCCTCACGTAATATTAATCATGTAGGCAGAGGTAGAGAGTCCCTGCTGCTCCATATTTAAATATTTAAAGTGCGTTATGGCTTATTGTTTGAGTTTAACTGTGCCTCTGATTGTTCATAATGCCCATTTTTACCTTGAATACCAATTATATTTTATTTCATACAATCCCCCGGATATTGCTGAACAATATTTACATATAAAAACATCAGTAAACCAATGCATCCCTGAAGAAAGTGGTCTAGAAGCATTTTCATTATCAGTTAATCTGTTAATTATGTTCTCAAGTCATAAATTGTAAGAAAATTGTAAAACGTGTATATGACAATTTCCAGAAGCCCAAGTTGACATATTCAAATTGCTTGTGTTCACAACCTCCATATATTCAGTTTAATCACTGACAAATAGCAAGAAAACCAGGGGGAAATAATCCCATTTGAGAAGCTGGACTGGACATTGTTTTGCTTAAAACATGACTTAAAAATAAATAGATAATCAGAATAGTTCCTGATTAATTTCCGGTGATCCATTTTGAGCAACTAGCCTAATTGTTGCAGATCTAATCCATAATGCTCCATCTCTACACCTTTGATAATTCAGAATAAAAATTATACCTCAAGGAGCAAAAGCAAACTCCACAAAGACGTATTCAGTATGCAGACTGCTTTTCCAGATGCACTAACGTTAGCACCGTTTTACTGTGGGGATTTTTTTTTTCTTATGGCTATTTGCAGCCTGCATGATATAAAAACTGGCACATCAGGGGGCAACATAACTTCTGAGAGAAGAAATGGCACATTTCAATTTCAATTTTCTTTTTTTTCCAATTTCGATATGCTTTGTTGGCATGAATGTCAGGTATACTTCTCTTGCTTCTCTTACGAATGAAAAGTTGAATTCATAGGCAATAGAACACACCCTTGCTTACTTCAGCCCTGTAGCCTTGCATGGCCTGGTATGACCAGTGGCTTGTAGTAAAGAATAAATCATACTCTCAACCTCCATGCAGCTGTGAGGGCCTGCATAGTTTCTGTCATGTGCATGCTTATGCACCACCCAAATTACATGAACTGTATGTACAAGCATGTCAACTGCTGTTGTGTGGTACATGGTCATGGACACAAATAATCAATATAATGTAGAATTCTGTTTGAGGCTGTTTTGTGTAAAGAGAAGAGAAGAGAAGAGAAGAGAAGAGAAGAGAAGAGAAGAGAAGAGAAGAAAGCCTTTATTTTCATTGCCCAAAGAGTATAGGATGAGGTTAGGACTGTCTTATCAAGCTGTTGCAAATGTAAAATTAATAGTGGATTGCACTGAATAAATAGTGGGTTGTGCTGATTATTTCATATATTGTGATTTATCAGCCTGATGGCCCATGGGTAAAAACAGTTTTTTAGTCTATTTGTGCTTAATTTTAAGCTCCTGTATCTCCTACCAGAGGGCAGGAGAGAGAACAGTTTGTGATCCGGATGGGAACAGTCTTACATATCAGGGACCGAACTGACTTTACTGAGTTAGGTCTCTGACTCTTCTGTTCTTCTGCTACTATTATACTCTGTTTCCCACCAAATGTAGTGCACCTATGCAGGTTTTTTAAAAAGGCCCAAACTCTTTGAAAATAGGCGACTGTTTTGCCATTGCCAGCAGTGTGCACGGCTCTACAGCAGACAAATATGCCTTTTTTTTTTCTTCTGCTGTGTCACATTCAATGTCATGGACAGGTCTGAAAACAGGTTAGTAAACAGTAGAAAGCAGCAGAGGTCAGTTAAAATGTTACAGTGGTTGCCTCTTTTTCATATCTTTTACTTATTTTGTCTCTCTTTCAAATTCAGTGCCAATTAAATTTGGAACAATGTTTGAGCACTGCTTGGAGATGTTGTTGTATTGTATTGTATCACACCGGCAAAGGGGCTTAAATCAGCATGTCTATCTGGGTGTCATTTCCATTGTTACGGATCAGAGCTAGAGCCCCCTCACCACTGCACAGTCGTTTGACCCAAGAGTGAATGCCAACTGTAACCTTCCCCATTACATACAAAAGCCAGATGTTAGTGGGTGTTAGGGTATTTTGTGAAGCGGGAAAGGGCCTTAACACTACATTTTAAGGCCCTGACACACCAAGCCAATAGTTGGCCGCTAGTCAGCGTTGCTGTGTAACTGGCTGTCTAACTAGCGTGAAGGCAGCCTTTTGGTTTCCCTTTTTAAATGACTAATACAGACTACCGCCATCTGCTGGTGTGGAGAGTTATTTCCTCTCACACAGGCACAGGATATGCATGTTGGTTGGCCGTTAGTCTGAGTGGGTGGAAGTTCGCTGCATAGATCAGCCTCTCATTGGGCGGAACGAGCCACCCGCCGAAGTCCCGCCCTACCACCTCCATTTGTGTAGCAGTTTTCAACCGTTTTCAACACGTCCTTTACTAACTTTTGCAGTGTTTGATCTTGTGGGGATGTAGCCATTTTTCTGCCATGGTTCGCGTCCTGTAGGCGATATTTTTGTGGGCATGTTACACCAAAACCTGTTTCCCCTCCGCAATATTTTTGCAAGCGCACCCTTGCCGTGGCACCGCCCAGAACGATTGTGATTGGTTGAAAGAAATACAAGCAGCCGAGGCATTTTTTTCTCCAATCTTAAAGTGAGAGTCGGCCCAGCCAGACCTTTCTTTTCTTGAGAAAGGTCTGGTGAGCGAGACTAGTTGGCTGTCAGCTGTGGTCATTGCAGTGTGTTCAGGTGCAACTTTTTGGCCAGTACACGGCAACTTGTATCTGGGCCTTTAGCATTGACCATTGTCAATATAACATCCTCTGGTGGCCACAACGGCCACTCCTAAGTAAATGTAACATTAGTCCCTATAAGGTATGTTCTTTCAAAGGCCTTCTCCTGCTTACATAAAAAGACAAAGGCCTTTTTCTTGGAAGACATTTTGACGTGACAATAGGAGAAGGTGTAAATAATAAAACGAATGATGCCTGAAATACATTTAGCTGCTCCAGTTTCATTCCCAGTATTGTTCACACTGGAACACTTAAATAAAACAGTACCATCATTAATGTTAATTGTAACACCTGCGCTTTTTCTACAATGACAAGTCTGGGAGAAAAGCCTGCTGGGAAAAGGCAAATGGTGACAATGTTGAGGCAAAGGAGTAGGACCATGTGACCAAACAAGTTTCCTGAGGGCACAGCTCAGATTTCTAAGTGCATGTCACTGTTAATGACTAAACGATTTAAATGTCAATTATTGTGTGTCATGCTACCACAGATAGATCACTTTATGTCAACGCTGCATGAATGTATTCCTTAGATAAAACATAAAAACATGTTTTTATTAGCTGCTTTAAGAGGAGTGGTAGTTAAATTGAAGCAGCCTTAGGTCAGAGAGCTCTGTTGTGAAGCTATATAACCCAAGCTGTATTGTTGTGGATGATGCTGCCATTAAATATCAATATTGTTAATTTTTATATCAATATTATATCACAAAGCAACACATTAAAGTAAAAGAGGATAAAGATGTTTGTAGAATTAAACTCAAAGGCTGAGTGACTGAAATTCTCTTCCTTTGTCTTATTCACACACATCATGCATATAATATGTTTTATAGTTCACATGATGCATTTCCAATTCCTATTCAATTCATTTTCAGTCTGGAGCCGTGCTGCTTGTAACAAAGGCAGATGCTAGCTTTAGATGAATATGTGCAAACGTTAGCTGTATATTTTGCATTTGTAAGCCCATGCTTAACATTTACTAGTTCATGTTGCAATGTGTCTCCTCCTGTCTTTGCTGTGTGAGCAGTGCATCAGGCCCTCCCTGGCTCTCTCAGCGCAATCAATTCTTGATTACTCTGATTTCATTTTAACAACCTCTGAGGGTTCTGTCATCTGCAGTTCATAAGCCATAAGAAAAACTTCGGTAGGATGTAAAGGGTTAAAATACTGAAAACAAGCTGAACGCTTTGCTTCAAACTACTGGTTCACAACAGAGTCCTATTTTTAGAATGTGGATGTCACAATGGTAAACAGGACCCAGAGAGACAATGCATGAAACCAGGCAACATGTAGAACAAAGGTTCATTCTTGTGACCTCTGTGACCTGTGCTCATTCGACAACAACAACAACTCAGAAGTGTGGTCCTCTCTCAGGCTTATGCAACACAGCAAAAGACCAAAAAAAAAAAAAGCACCTGGAAACATATACCTGCATAAACAGCATATACTCCAAACAGCTGAGACAAAGAGGAATTGCACAAGAGAAGTGAGGTGATGTGCTTCATTATACATTATCTCAGTTTAGTAACCAACCTCCATAGTGAATGGTGACACTGGACACAAGAAACACAGGTCCGGTCGGTGGAAGAAAATGTTGGCATTGTACATTTCTGCAAACCAGGGATAAATTACATTTGCACTTTCATACATTTATCAATGTTTCTAAAGTAATGCAGTATATCAGATTGGATAATGTGACACCTAGGAGAGAAGCCTGCCCCGCTGTAGACAAATGTTTGATACCAACAAACAACCAAACTGGCTAGTCATTGCTGTTTCCAGCATCTTGTTAGGCCCAGAATTGGGTGTTTTGTAGTGTCACTGTGTTTCCAGCAGCATTTTTAGGCACTAAAAGGGTATTTTTAGAGACATTGCTGCTTTTCTTTCTGGGATAGTTGCACAAGAGCTGTTGCTGTTTTTCTGGCTCGGATTTTTCCCCCCAAGGTGGTAATTTTAAGCCAAAACATGGTATTTTCCTAAACCTAATCACATGTGAACCAGAGCATTGTTGAAACGTGAAGTTTCAATATATCTGCTACATAATAATGTGCAAATGTAATGTATCCTTGGTTTCCAGAAATGTATATTGCTACTGGGTCAGAAATAGAAAAC